AAAAATTTTTCGGAGTGCGTGGCTAACACCACGCACCTTTATTCGAAAAAAAAATTTTGGCCCCCCCCCCGGACGGAAATCCTGCGACCGCCACTGACATATACATACACATATAATGGAAACGCATATTGATGCTACCTGACGGCTGAGTAAGTCTGTTTGTCTGGTGGACTCCAGGATGAGAACGACGTCGCAGTGGGGATCCGCGGTGGAGGTATATGACGATGAGAGTCCTTGAAAGCGCATTCTCTTATTTCTACTCAACAGGTGCAACACACCTGATCGTAGCTGACATAGTCACGGGCTGGACGTCGTTCTGGCGAAGGAGACTGTGCCCTAGCAGCGCGACGTGGTGGTGAGGGAGACGCAGCACGAGCACGAGCTGGTCTCGATTCCACTTTTTCTTCCCTTTCCGCGGCAGGAGGCTCCGTAGTCGTTTCAATAACTTTCACCTGAATTGCAAGTCTCTATTTGGGCGATGCTTCGCAACTGATTTCTCACCGGTGGAGGCACCTCTTCTTCCTTCGGAGCTGCATCGGTTTTTTCATCAACTTGTTCTTGCTGAGTTGGCTCTACGGAAGGAGCTTCCTCAGATGCAACGGGTTCATCTTGGGCAGGTTCCTGCTGTTCTGGCTCTGTCACAGCAGCTGGCTCTTCCTCTGGCGCAGTTTCATGTTTAACTTCAACAGCGGCGTCTTCTTGCATAGGCTCTACAGCCGCCTCATCGTCAGCATGTTCCTCGTCCTTACTAAAAGCGCGAAGGTCTTTAGGTATATGGATCAACTAACTTACTGATGCTTTCCCTTCTTGGCTCTAGCTGTGCGTGCCGATTTAGGGGTTCGTGGGGTTTTCGTTGGTGACGAAGGAGCCTCCGAGTCTGCTTTGGGAGTGGCGGGGGTTTCATCAAAACTGAAGGCAACTGCTGATTTTGGGGTACCGGTAGCCTTCGGTGTAGCCAACGACGCAGGAGATGCCAAATTCGCACTGAAACTACGGCACCATTCTACGCTACCTTCTAGAAGCTTTCTTTCAGCGGTTAGAGCGTACTACGTTCTCCATGACAGAAAAAGAAAGACTACGAAAGTTTAAATCATACGTTTCAGCTTTCACTGACGGCGTCCCTGGAATACTACCATTAGCTACAGAACCATTAGCTACTTTAGGGGTAGCTGGGATAGAGCCGACTGCTGATCTAGGAGTAGGTGGCACTGAACCTGCGGGTGTTCCTCCAGCCTGCAACGAAACGAAATGTGGAGACTCAGGCTGAATTTGTATGCCTACATACTTGAGAATAATCTTTCGGTGTTGGCGGAACAGAAGCCTTTGATGCCTAAACAATTTCACTTCAGCAAATAACATATGCTTCTTTTAAAAACCTCCTCTGGTGCATTTTTTGGAGTTGGGGGAACAGAGTCGTCCTTGGTTTTCACAGCCTGAAAAAGATATATGCGAAAAGCTTGAGTCAAATTAAGTGAACCAACGAACTTCTCCTGCTAAAGTTTTTGGTGTGGGTGGAACTGATCCTGCCGGGGTACCGAAAGTCTTGAAAACAATTCAATACAACAATAAACCAGTGCAGTATACTGAGGTCTTCGCAAAAACAGAACATACTTCTCCTGATTTCGGTGTAGGTGGAATTGAACCTCCGGCCGACTTCGGCGTCTGTGGCACAGACTCGAATTTTTCTAAATGAAATCTTACTATGCTGGGAAGTTGAGTTTCTCAGATGGCCAATATGATATATCAAAGTGTGATTATTTGGTGGCCTCATAAACTTCTCATACTGACCCGCTGCCGGGGTGACAGGTGCGGCATCTTGGCTTGCTTCTGTTGTGGGCTCAGCAGTCACCTTTACTGCTGGGACTTCTTCTGCATTTTCCTCCTTTTCTGCTACCTGCGCAGAGGTGTCTTCCGCTTGAGTGTCGAGCTCGTTCGGAGTTCGTGGGCGTTTACCCTCTGGTGGAGCTTGAAGCTCAAAATCTTTCCCTCCTTCTGAAGCGGTGGTATTTTGCTCAGGAGGAGCCATCTGGAAGTTATAACAGTTTGTTGTATATAAGAATATGCGAAGCTTCCAAGTCAGAATTTTCTTTGAATGAAAGTTTTCGTGAGACTAACACTCTTCTCCGATGAAGATATTTGAGTTCAAAATTTTATAGTAGCTCTTAAAGTTTTATTTGAGGTGAATGAGCAGTGAGTCTATTTGTGCGTTTGTAATCAATCATACAGTATTTTCCTTGTATCGTAGGTTCGACAGCTTAATACCTTTACCTATAGCTAAATTAATATCTAAACATAATAGTATGGAGATGTCTTGTTTGATATTGACACTCTCCTGAGAACTCTTGCATTATGTTTTAACAGCTAATCAGCAATCCGTGTTTTTTCGCAAACAAAGTGGACATTAGAGGAGTGCAAGTTCAACATGATATGGCGCAAGTTACGGATCTAATTTGAACATTGAACTGCAGTTGATTGCCTCCGCTGGAATAAACACTATCATATAGGTTGACCGTTGGTTAGCGATATATCACACAGATATGACATGACCAGAGCGAGTTAAGCGAGTGTTCTCCTTGTTTACACCAACAGTTTCAGTCGAATCAGCCAAAAATTCAAGGAGTTTTCTTCAATCTCTTGCTCTGGAGGAAGTGTGTAGATTTGCGAGAGGAATAATAATTTTAACAACCGATACACATACTCTTTTTGGCCGCTCCGAGAGCAGTACAATGCAGCTCATTTCAAAGCGAGAAGCGTATTTCTCATGTACTGGCAAAACTTTATTTTCACAGAAGAACTGAGAGAAGATGAAGGCCGAACTCTTAGCAAACATAAGCAAACTCTTGCTTAGCCATTCTCAGGAAATATCGAGTAAAAGGCAATACCTGCTCCTCTACTTTGGCTCCCTCCACAGGTGCCTCGTTTTTTCCTTCCAAAGTCTCTTCTGCTGCAAGGGCTACATCCGATGGAGCATCTTTAGCATCTGCAGCCTCCTCAGGAGGTAAAGCCTCGTCAGCAGCCGCGGGTTGATCTGCATGAGCAGCGTCTTGTTTAGACTGGAAACAGAAGTACCCAATTTCGTAATGCAGGAAAGCAAGCAAATCACCTCTGACTCAAATGTTTCAGCTGGAATCTCCGCAGCCGCTGGAGCTTCTTCAGCCACAGGCACTTCTTCGGTTGCTGCAGCTTCATTAGCTGCTGGAGTCTCATCAGCTGCTGAAGCCTCTTTAGCTGGTGAAGCCTCATTGGCGGTTGGGACCTCAGCAGGGGCTGGCGCTTCATCAAGAACTGGAGCATCTTTAGCGTCCGCCGCTTCTTCTGCAGGTAACGCTTCTGCAGCAGCCGGCGTCTCCTCAGCTAAGGCAGCGTCATCGGTTGCCGGAGCATCTGCTTCGGTTGCTGGTGGTTCAGTTGCGGACGCGTCAGCAGCGGCGGCATCATGCTCTCCAGACACCTGGATGGAATGAACATGCGAAACACGAGTCGAATCATTATGACAGAATACACAGCGGTAGTCAGTGTCATTTCGAATTGAAAGATAATGAAAATAGTAAACAAATCAAAACAAAACAATCAACGAAATCTGATTCAATCTACCAGAGATCATGCGGGGGATGACACCCAAAATGTTAGTTAGGAACCTCATCATCTATGTCGTCAGCTAGTGCAGGAACGTCGTCATGTGCAGTCCGAAATCCCTCACTAGCACTATCTGCAACGTCTGGTGAATCGTGTATTTCGTGACTGTAGTGGGCAGGATGATCCTCCACATCGTCTTCCATATGTTCCCCTTCGTCTTCTTCCATTATAGCATCGCCAAATTCCTTCACGGAAACTCTTTACAATGCAAAACAACGCAGTTATGTTTTATAGGTCATTTACATGGTGAAGATGAGTTGCAAAAGGACAGAAGAACATACTAAAGGAAAGACCGAAAATTATCATGATTGGGTCGAAACCGTCATTCAAGCTATGATAAGAGGATTAGTTGCGAGAATAAAAGCGCAGAAAGCATAATGCTTTTCTAAACCTGTGTTTCCTCATTCGTTGGCAGATCTTCTATGCCATCCATGCTTGTTGTCATAGGGTCAACGTAATCTGTTCCCGTAATATCGGGTACCTTAAAATTCATGTGATGGATGAAACAACAATATAGTGATTGATTGAGTAGGAATGCAGCGGGTAACGAGCATCTCTACAAAAAAGTGCTAGCGCAAACAGGAAAAGGGATAGCTGATCCACGATCGCGGGGTTGGTGGGTCTGCGTCCTTAGCGTGGATTACAACAACTTTCTGCTTGTTTAGAAAGCACTCGGAGAACGAAGCAGAGCTGGCAGATTTTATCTCACCTGGGTCTCTCCTGTG